ACGCCGACCTATGGTCGACGCATACTGTGAAGACTTTCCAATCTGTCTAATTCTGCAGGCTATGCGTCGACGCATAGTCCTGCTATGGTCGACCGTTCGCTCGTTTATGCTGTTTCTGAACGCTTTCCACTTTGGGTGAAAAGCTGTTATGTTTGTTGGCTTGTTGGTTACTATATATAGATGTTTTATGTTCTTTTCTCAATAACAATTGAAATAACAATTGAAACAACAATTGAAATTTTGAGTCAATTGTGCAAGAACAAGAAAAGTGAAATAGGTGCTACCAAATCTCTTCATCTTCATCCTCAACAATTCACAACACAACAATTACACACAACAATTCTTGTTGTGCTTTGTGGTTCTGTTCAAGGTGATAAGGTCCGAAGCTGTTGATTGAGAATCCGGTTCGGGTTGAGTTTGTAGCAGGTTTTTCTTGAATAAAACCTCTCCAAGATTCGGAGAATTTGGGGATTTTTGGTACGGATCGTCTCTACCAACTTTAGTTGAGCGAAGGTGATTGAGAAGCGGAAGATTTCGTCATTCTAGTAGTAGGAATCAGTGAAGTGTGCAAGAGAGTTTCAGGTTCGATTTGTGTGTGTTTGAGATCAGTCGAGCCGAGGGTTTGAAGAACGGAAGGTTGTTCAACAAAGGGGCTAGAATCCTAGGTCTACTCACAACAATCGAAGAACTTGATTCGACTCGAATCAAGGAACAAGGAGAGAAAGCATCATCAACATCAAGAGAGCTTGTTTGTATATTTTGCTTATACATCCTTGTATAAACATTTCAACTCTACAGGTGATATCTATTATATTGATCTCAATTCTAGATTTAGAATTGAGGGCAGACGTACCCCGAAGCGAGGACGGCGGGGGAACTGCCTCAACAAATCTTTGTCTCCTTTATTTTTTTGCACTTTCATTTTGGTTTTAGAATTTGAGTAATTTTAGTATAAGCAATTCTATCAAAATTTGCGTTGAGTTGAGTAAGTGCTTTTAACTGTTTTGAACTCTAGTACAATAATATATTGTATAAGGAATTTAGAGTTACTTACTCAAGTCAAAATTCACTTGGAGTGCCTCGCACACCAAGTGTTTGATAAATTTCCTAAACCAAAATTCACTTGGATTATTTGCATATTTTATGGTGATTGTGGAGCATTGGAACTAGTCCTACGAATTAGTGGTAAAATCAATTGATAAGTGTGACTAGTGTGTTGAATCTATTTTTTGCTCATTATCATTTCCATAAGGCTAGACGCATATCCGGTCTTCTAATAACGGTTCGTTTTAGACGGTAATTTTTCCACAGCCGCTTCCGCAAATCAAATACTTTTAAAACCAATTTTTAATTGGTAGCGCCGACTGATTTTTAATTGGAATCTATTTAACCCCCCTTCTAGATCCTAGCCATCGTCTAATACCAACGAAGAAAAGAAAGAGACGCTAGTGACAAAGGTAGTTGTAAAATTACATATTGTCTCATTCAATAAAATTACATATTTATATCATGCATTAAAATTACATATTATGTCATTCAATAAACATATGTAGGAACAAAAAATGTGGCTGAGGGTGGCATCTGTCAAATACCTATGCAGGAAGGTATTTTCGGTTTTGAATATGCCAAAACAATTGCCAAGGAGGATTTGGACCAGATTTTCCAACATTCTGAATTGGGCATTGGTGTTATGCATTCCTACATCAGGTAGTACTCCGATCAATTTTAATTAAATACTTGAACAAATTATTTGCTCATTTAAATGAATATTCTAATGTTGATTATGTTTTTATTTAAGGTTATTGTATGACAAGATGTTGGTCCTGCATGGTTTGACTTCAAGATTCGCATTCTTATCTGCTAGCTGTATCAACACACGGTCAATCGAGCACACTCCATATGTGGTCAGAGATTACATACTCAAATCATTTATGGCCGCAGATACAGAGAAGTTGTACTTGTTACCATATAATACTAGCCATGGGTTAGATTTCATTCTAAATTCATTTATTATAATTATTCGTTTTTTGCCATTCTATATAACATTTCCGTCTAAACTTTTGTCTTATTTTATAGTGGACACTGGTTGTTGGTCGCGATTAATCCGATGAAAGAAATAGTGTATTATCTGGATTCATCAGATGGTGATCAAACAAAATATCCTTATATGAAGACTATGGCTGATACGTAAGTGATGAGATATACTGTTCTGAATAATTATCTTTATTTATTATGTGAGATTGTTCTAAATATTCGTTTATATTATGTTAGATATATACAAATATTTCGATCGCAAAGAGAAGCAACAGTGCCAAAAAGGAAGGCTAACAACATTAGCTGGATTAGAGTGCAGTTATATTTTCACATTTTTTACTGTTATAGTGATTCTACTTGATAAAACTATTTAAACTATATATCCTCACACATGATCGTTTGTTTTTTCCATTTACAGTGTCCTCGTCAGCGCAACAGGATTGATTGCGGATACTTTGTATTGCGCTTTATGAAGGAAATTATTCACTTGGGTCAAATAGATATTCCAATCATGGTATGAATCAATTCATAAGTTATATGATTTATTTTAATAATTAACCGATATTTCATCTGAGTAATAAGTTTTAAAACTAAATCGTGCATGTTCTGTTATATTATGTAGTACTTTGATGAATTAAAGTGTGGTACATACTCGAAAGCAGGATTGAAAGAAATTAAGGAGGAATGATGTCAATACATTATTGAGTTGAGAATTGTATAAGGTTTATGTATCGTCAAATATTGACGTGGTATAATAATATTTCTGGAGGTCGTATTTATGTGTAAAGTTATTGGTTTTGTAATTATATGTAAATTGACTGTATTTGTGAAGTTGTTCTGAGGATCGGATTGTGTTGAATTATATATAAGCAGGTTTATGTGAATTACAATGATTATGGCCAAAGCGTTGAATTACAATGTATATTTAAGGCCAAAGTGTTGAATTACAATGTATATATAAGGGCAAAGTGTTGAATTAAAGGCCTGAATTATAAGCAGGGAATGTAATTGTTATAAGCAGGTTTATCGGAAAAAAAATATAAAAAAGTGATTATTTAAAAAAAAAATTAAAATCGTGAATAGACAGCGCTTTTACAAAAAAGTGCTGCTATAGGAGGGGAAAGGGGGAGAATAGGCAGCGATTCTCAAAAGCGCTGGTAAAGGGGGGGGGGGGAATAGGCAGCACTTTTCAAAAGCGCTGTTAAAGGGGGAAAAATAGGCAGCACTTTTCAAAAGCGCTGGTAAAGGGGGGGGGGGGGGGGGGAGGGGGGGAATAGGCAGCGCTTTTCAAAAGCGCTGCTAAAGGGGGGAAATAGGCGGCACTTTTTAAAAGCGCTGCTAAAGGGGGGGTGGGATAGGCAGCGCTTCTGAAAGCGCTGCTAAAGGGGAAAAACCCTGCTAAAAATGCTTCTAAAGGGGGCCTATAGCAGCGCTTTTTCCATAAAAAAGCGCTGCCTTTACCTTTAGCAGCACCACTTTAGGCAGCGTTGCTAAAGGTCTTATTTGGCATAGTGGCTTATGCTCGACAGAGAGGATTGAACCTTGTTGGTCCTCATCAGTATAATATTGGGTTGGGCCTGCCTGTCTGAGGGGCAGGTCCCGGCCCAGTCCAGAATAATAATAATCACCTAACTGTTGTTATATCTAGATTATTTGTGTACGTCAATTATCTGAATTGACATATTCCACTTGGTTGTGGACAACGCAACAAAGCAAGTGACATGTTTTACTAGTACTTTTCTTACTCATTTTACATCATGCAAAATCCAAATTAGAGCATCCAACGAAAATGTAATATATTCATCCTCTTAAAATACCATAAACTCGTATGTTATGTGTTAGTGAGATACTTCATAGTCCATTTGATCACAATGAGGTGTGATTTTTTGAGATTTGTTTGAATACGTGCACACATAAAAACAAAAATCATGATATTAAGAAGTAAATAAATAAGGAAGTCAATCATATTTTAATATTTATTTTCTTCAAATTCGTGTCCCTCATTTATATCTAAATCTAAGTAACATGACATACTCATTAGAATTGATATTTCTTTGACATTTTGCATCCATAATTTGTTTAAAAGTTGTTTGCAATATTTTATTTGATTTATGAAAGGGGGGCTTCTTTTTGTTTCATTTCATGCATTGGGCTTGTTTTACTCTATTTTGGCCCAATTAAGTTTTGCGTCCTTTTTATTTTCTGCAAAATATTAGTTTAACCAGGTTGAAAAATAATTAGTAGAAAACATATTAGTGAAATATAATTTTTATTTAATTTATAAAGAAAAATAAAAAATCTTTAAGAGAGAAAAAAACTTAATAAGGTGTCTACTTGGGAGATTTGCAATGTCAATCTTAGTAATTAATGGTTTTATTTTCCAAATACAAGAGATTTGATCCTTATTAACTGTAATTTCCTACTTATAATTATAAGAATATTGAAGAAATTAATAAGTTGCAATCAAGATTCCAAAGTTACAATATGAGACTCTTACTCTGGAAAGATACATTTGGTAGATTTTATTTTGTTGGGGAATATTACCAATCTTATGATCAATCAGTTATAACAAAACCACCTCATATATTATTATTTTTTGAGTATAAATAAATAAATAAAAACAACGTGTTTTCACCCAATTTGCACTCTACTAACCGTCACTCTCTAACCCAAGTCTTACTCTCACCATCCACATACTCAGTCTGTCAGTCAACCCTAATTGCATCTCTTTTATGATTCATTGAAAGTAATTATTTCTCCAAAAAAATCCTGTAATTCTTTTTCTCTTCACTATTCAATTTATTTTTCATAGACCTTTCATATACTCTAGCATTTACTACATTACTAGAAGCATTCAAGTTTATACCAATTCCAATGCTATCAAACACTTAAACCAACACAGTTCCAAAATATCAAAAGCTCTTCACAACACAAACACTTCTTCAACAAAAAATAATTCTAGGGTCATGGAAGGAGCTTCATCATCCTCTACAACACCGGATGATCATGATGAAGAAATATTTCAAATATCTGATGAGAAATATGCAGAGGAATTACAGTTACAAGAAGCATTAAATTTCTCACGTACTTCAAACCCTACTGTAACAGTAGAAGAAGAAATCAAAGTAGTGGAAGAAAAAGTTGAGACTAAAACCCTAACGAGTAGCCTCATACAGAAACTGAAAAATTCTATGAATTTTGAAGGTGAATCCTCTTCTTGTTCTAGTTTGAAACAATCCTATTGTGGTATCTGCATGGAAGCTAAACCGGTTGAAAAAATGTTCGAAAACCCTAACTGTTCACACTCTTTCTGTGTAAACTGTGTTGGAAAATTTCTAGCTATAAAAGTTCAGGAGAATAGATCAACAGTAAAATGTCCGTATCCAAAATGCAATGGTATTTGGGAGCCTCGTGACTGTAGCTCCTTTATACCAAAGGATTTGCTTGATAGATGGGAGAATACAGTCTGTGAAGAAACAGTGTTGAGTTCGGAAAAATTCTATTGTCCTTTTAAGGATTGTTCAGCTATGTTGGTGAATGATGAAAAGGAAGTTATTGTGACTAGTTCGGAATGTCCTCATTGTCACAGATTATTCTGTGCACAATGTAAGGTTTCGTGGCACGCAGGTGTTGATTGTCAAGAGTTTCAAAGCTTGAAAGACGGGGAGCGAGGGAGGGAGGATCTCTTGGCCATGGAACTTGCTAAGAACAAGAAATGGAAGAGATGTCCGAAATGTAGCTTCTATGTTGAGAGAATTGTGGGATGCACTCGCATTACATGCAGGTATGAAAATGTTTGTGAAAAATTATACTAAGTTGTAAATATTTTTAATGTAAACATATATAATGATAAATGTTGTTGCAGGTGTGGTAATCAATTTTGCTATGGCTGTGGATCTACTTGGAATAGAGATGCTCATTATCATTGTGCAACTCAATAAACATTGTATGGAGGCAAAGGCGACTCAAGAGACGTTGTGTAAGATGGTCGCAGTTTAAATATTTCAAAAATAAATAAATAAAGATTTTATTAAAGGAAGATTTAACTGTAAGAATTTTGGATCTAGTAATGCTGGATTATTTTTAGATTTGTTTAAAGTTTTCGAAAGTCCTATATGTTAGTTACATTTTAATCCTAGCAAAATAAATAGAGGTTTTATTTAACACAAAGACAGTGCTAATCATTATGATTAGGCTTATTGCATCTCATTTCTTTTCGGTTGTAGCAGTTTGTGTTTGGCTCTGCATATCTTTGTGCAGGCATTTTGTTTTGTTGTTGGTGCCTTGGTCTGTCTGTCTTGAGTTTGTGACCGTTTTTATTCTTTTGTTGCCAACAACAATTTTTTGTGCTAGTGCGCTCTTAATATATTTTGGCTGATTAAAGAAAATAGTGCATCAAATTTGAATTATTTTAGGTAATACTCGCAACATTCACATTTAATTTTGATGTGGAGCACCGGAGCATAGATTTTTTGTTATGAAAATGTGTTGTATACAATGTATCATCTATAATTATGTATAAAGAAAATATATCCTTTTGGAGTGGTATATTTTACTTTTTAAAATATTTTTTATTTTCTTTTTTATAGATAAAAAAATTAAAATTGAGAAGGATTTTTCAATAGTGTTGTTAGTAACTTCCATCATTTATTTATGGATTTTCTGAATATAATTCCTGCTATGATGTTTAAAATTTCACAATTATTTTACAATTGTAAATTGTGTAATTATCAAAAGCCCTTTTTCCATCGATAGTGTATCATTAATGTGCACTGTTTTCAATTTAGGGTTGAATAATATATATTTAATTATCATTCTCTCTGAATGAAATAAAATGCCAAAAAATGTATATATTCAAAAGCCTCTCTTCAATTAACGATGCATTATCATGAAATAGCCATTTGTAAGGATTTCCGTTAAAATACATTGTTTAATTTTTATTAACTTGTATCATAGGTTCATGTTATATTTGTTAAATATAATTCATTGTGATTTGATATGATTAGATTTAATATCATATGATTAGATTTGATATCATATGATTAATTTGATATGATATGATTAGATATCATATTAGATTTGATTTCATATGATTAGATTTGATTTAGAATATTTTGGGTCTTTTATGTTTTGGGCTAATGCAAACCTAAAACTATAAATAGGGTGTCTTGCTTTGTATTCTATATCACAACATAGAACAAATTTCACAGTTGCAGTGTTTAGCAAGTGAAAGTTCTATAAGCAATAAAAAATCTCACAGTTGTGGGTAACACATTCTCTCCAAATATTTCTTCTCTCATTCTTCTCTTTCTTGTTTATTCTTCTTTTCTTTTGTTGTTCTTGATAATTACTTGTTATTACCATTACTATCATAGTGTGGGTTTGTTCATCAATCTTGAGATCAAGATTGAAGGGAATTATTCATAGGGTGTGAGGTGAATTTCCAACATCTGGTATCTAGAGCTCCGGTTAAGAGATTCAAGGAAGGAAGATAGTGATGACGATGAACTATCCAAACGGCAACTTTTCGGCGACCCTGCCAATTCTCAAGAAAGACAATTATGAGAATTGGTGCAAGCAGGTTAAGGTGATCTTCTGTTATCAAGATCTTTGGGATCTTGTGAAGGACGGAGTAACATCGCTGGTGGAGAACGCAACGGAGGCGGAAAAGGCTGCGCACAAAGAATTGAAGAAGAAGGATTATAAAGCATTCTTTATAATTCATCAGTGTGATGATCCTGATAACTTTGAAAAGGTTAGTGATGTTGATTCAGTAAAAGAAGCATGGGAGATTCTTGAAAAGTCGTTTGGAGGCGCAGAGAAGGTGAAAGAGGTGAGGTTACAAACTTACAAGAGAACCTATGAGTTGCTTCAGATGGAAGACAACGAAAGCATTACAGATTTCTTCACCAGAGTTACAAGGTTGGTGAATCAAATCAAAGTATGTGGAGAAACGCTGACGACGAAAGCAGTTGTCTCAAAGATTTTGAGATCGTTGGCTCCAAAATTCGACCACGTGGTAGTTGCCATAGAAGAGTCGAAAGATCTGTCAGTGTTGACGAAGGAAGAGCTTCAAGGGACTCTTGAGTCTCATGAATAGAGGATGGCTGAGAGAGCTGCAGGAAAGTCGAAAGATATGGCTTTGCAGGCACAGACGGAAAATGAGAGAAAAGGCAAAGGTAGCTGGAATGGCAACAAAGGGGGAAACCAGTTGAATCAAAAGAAACCTTGGAACCAAGGCAACCAAAGAGGTGGTGCTGCAGGTAAAGGAAGAGGTGGTGATCGAAAGACAGACAAAAGCCACATTCAATGTTTCAATTGCCAAAAGTATGGTCATTATGTTAGTGATTGTCCAGAAAAGAAGAGAAATCAAGAGACTGATGCAAAGCTGGCGAAACATGAAGAAGAAGAAACGTTGCTAATGGTCACAACAAACGATGAAGAAAGATTCCAAGATCAGTGGTACTTGGACTCAGGATGCTCATCACACATGACTGGAAGGAAAGATTGGTTTGTCAACATGAAGCCCTCGTCGAAGAATACGGTGAAGTTTGCAAATGACAACACTCTAGCAGCTGAAGGTGTTGGTGATGTTCTGATTATGAGGAAAGATGGCAAAAGGTCAACAATTTCCAATGTGTTGTACATACCAGGCATGAAGAGTAATTTGCTCAGTATAGGGCAACTTGTTGAAAAGAACTACAAGGTAGTTGTCGAAGACAAGATGATGAGAGTCCTCGAAGCAGGTGGTAGACTAATCTTGAAGGCTCCAATGTCTCAGAATAGGACCTTCAAGATTGGACTCAATGTGATGGAGCACAAGTGTTTAGCAACTGCAGCCACTGAAGTCGAAATAGAAGTTCGACAGGAACCAGTTGCAGATGAAGCAGGTTCAAGCAGACCTCGACGAATTAGACACATGCCTGCAAGGTTGCAAGAATGTGTAATCACATCAGATGATGTAGTCGATGAAGAGGGTGAGCTGATACGTTATGCTTTCTACGCAGATGTCGAACCAATCAATGCAGCTGAGGCATTGAAAGATTCGAAGTGGGTGAAAGCAATGATTGAAGAGTTAGAGTCCATCAAAGTCAATGATACCTGGTCACTTGTCGAATTGCCGCAAGGCAAGAAGGCAATTGATGTGAGGTGGGTTTACAAGGTGAAGGTAAATCCTAAAGGAGAAGTAACTCGACACAAAGCGAGACTTGTGGCGAAAGGATTTCTTCAGAAGGAAGGAATCGACTTCGATGAAGTATTCACACCTGTTGCTAGAATCGAAACAATCAGGTTGGTTGTTGGTCTAGCAAATATGAACAACTGGCACACATGTCAGATGGACGTGAAGTGTGCATTCCTTAATGGCCCCTTAGAAGAAGAAGTTTATGTTGCACAACCAGCTGGGTTTGTGAAACAAGGCGAAGAAAGAAAGGTGTACAGGCTTCATAAAGCCCTGTATAGACTTAAGCAAGCTCCAAGAGCTTGGAATAAGAAAATTGATAGCTTCTTAAGGGAGAAGGAATTTGTAAAGTGTACAACTGAGCATGAAGTATATGTAAGAAGAAGAAATGGCGAATTGCTTATGCTATGTTTCTATGTTGATGATTTGTTGATAACAGGGAGTTCCAAGAAGGAGATCGAAGATTTCAAACATGACCTGAGTAAGGAGTTTGAAATGTCAGACTTGGGAAATCTCTCATATTTCCTTGGCATCGAATTCTACAAGACAAGTAAAAGTTTGATGATGCACCAAAAAAGATATGCAGGCGAGATACTCAAGAGATTTGAGATGCAAGATTGCAACCAAACTTCGACTCCAGCTGAGCCCAGATTGCAACTGTCGAAGGATACAAATAAAGATGATGTCGACCCAACCCAATACAGAAGACTTATTGGGTCACTTAGATACCTTTGCCACACAAGGCCTGACTTAGCATACAGTGTTGGTATGATAAGTAGATTCATGCAGAAACTAAAGGTATCACACCTAGCAGCGGCGAAGAGGATACTGAGGTATCTGAAAGGAACTCTCGACTATGGCATTTTGTTTCCAGCAGCTGATGAAGGAAAAGAATGCAAGTTAGTGGGATACACAGACTCCAGTTGGTGTAGTGATGCTGAGGATCGAAAGTCCACAACGGGATATGTGTTTATGTTAGGTGGTGCACCAGTTGCTTGGAATTCGAGAAAGGAACCAGTGGTGGCATTATCATCATGCGAAGAAGAATATATAACTGCTTCCCTTTGTGCATGTCAAGCAACTTGGATGGTGAACTTGGTCGAAGAAATCACAGGGAAGAACCATGGAGCAATTACCATGAAGATAGACAGCATGTCAGCTATCAACTTGGCAAAGAATCCAATAGCTCATGGTCGAAGCAAGCACATCGAAATGAGGTTCCATTATCTCCGAGAGCGGGTAGCAGAAGGGAAAATGAAGTTGGAACACTGCAGAACTGAGAATCAGATTGCAGATATCATGACGAAGGGAGTGCAGGTCGAAGCCTTCAGAAGACTAAGGGTCATGATGAATGTAGACAGTTTAGACACAATGAATTAGGTGGTGTGTTAAATATAATTCATTGTGATTTGATATGATTAGATTTGATATCATATGATTAGATTTGATATCATATGATTAGATTTGATATCATATGATTAATTTGATATGATATGATTAGATATCATATGATTAGATTTGATATCATATGATTAAATTTGATATCATATGATTAGATTTGATTTAGAATATTTTGGGCCTTTTATGTTTTGGGCTAGTGTAAACCTAAAACTATAAATAGGGTGCCTTGTTTTGTATTCTACATCACAATATAGAACAGATTTCACAGTTGCAGTGTTTAGCAAGTGAAAGTTCTATAAGCAATAAGAAATTCCACAGTTGTGGGTAACACATTTTCTCCAAATATTTCTTCTCTCATTC